TCTATAGTTTCATACGAATTAGAAACTCAAATTACAGATATTGACAAGCAAGAATATAAAATAAGAAGGTTGTATCTTTTCTATGTGCTAAGATATTGCTCACTTAATAAATCCAACACAGTGGCACCCCCACTCACTTCTTTCCATTTGAGGAAACACTCCCTTATATATGCTTACTTCTATATATGACATGAATAACCAATCGGAAGCTCAGAATGTCCCCATAGTGGTTTTCTCAGCCTTTCTAACATACCTAGCGCATTTATTTCTTTCAATCAGGATTTCAATGAGGTAGGTTGTGTCTTTAGTCTGGTCGAAATTTAATGTTTTTTTAGACCCAAATACAGCTTAGTTACTAAGCTTGATAAATTATAGTAGAATTCTATTGTATTGATGTAGTAAATTATTATTTTTAGTTATTCAAAAGTATATATAAAACCTAAAAAAAATACTTTGTTTCATATTCTCCACATGCAAAATTTTTAAAGGCTTAGTAACCTACATCAAGCAGCAACCAAGTACAAAGGTTGTGACTAGAAGAGATAATTGTTTGCTTTACTTCTTTATTTACTTTTCTATGTTTTAGGAAAAATATCTTTAAGAACTTATTTCAAAATGGCAATAATTTATAAACATATATAATGTATAATAATTGAAATGTGCCTGTATTTTACAAAATACTAGTTGATTAAAACACAGGCAAGACAAGTTACTTTGTACAGACTAAAGGTCACCTTTATGTTATTTAATATGGTAACATGAGTGCACATCAGCCACGTCATTGTAACTTCTGTATTGTTATCCAGACATGGGTAAAAGGTCAATATAATAAAAATAATAAATATATATAAATGTATAATGTTATGATATTTAACGTATTTCGATTAAACATTTATGTTTTCATGTTACAATTTGTGTTCACTCTAGAATAAAAGAGGCGTAATTCATGTTTATTTCCTAATTTTTTATAGTGGTTGCGAGATCGGTCAAATCTACCGAACCGTACAGAAATTAATTATTGAAAATAAGAGATAAAAATATAAAGATTTTGCTTGTGTGAAATTTCAAAATTTTCTGATGCATAAAAGTATTTTTAATCTTAAAATGAAAATTACTTTGCATGAGAGAAACATTGATTTATAAACCTTAAGACTTAATAAAAAAATTAGATATTTTGCATATGAAAGCATTGTAATGTTTACTAATAAACTGCCAAATTGCGTTAACATTCACTTGCTAATTTAAAAATTATAGCATGAAAACTATAACAAGCACAAAATGGTTACATGGTCGGTCATAGGGTCTGAGCCCAGTTGAAAGAGTTAATAAGTAAGAAATGGTTAAACTCTAAATAATACACATATGAAAGAATAAATATTTTGATGTACACATGAAAGTGTATAAAAAATAATTAATTTTCCTAGCTGCTTATGAATCAATGAGCCTATAAAAAATTTTCTTTTGGCATTTATACAGATAAGATATTTTTTTTTTTTTATATATTACAATTTTATGATCTAGGAATGAAAATATTAGGGATTTATTATAAATAAAACTTTACCTTCAAGATATACGATCTCATCTCATACTTGCAGTTTCTGACTGCTGGTTGTGCATGCCCCCAGTAACTAAATGCCAACATGATCTGGTTCTGTCGGGCTCGAAGGTAATTCACTCTTTCTTGGTGCAAGTTTTTAAGATCAAGGTCAGTATCACAAAGTTCGAAAGTCTTGTTAGCATTTGTGTATCCATTGTGTCTCCAAATATGAACTGTTATGATATATTTAAGAAAATCAACCTTAAGAAAATTAATTTAGATACTTATAACAATGAGATGAATATATTATTAAGAAAAGGTTTTATTCCCACACAGATTCAAAGAGATTTTTAAGTAACAGGTCAAGTCTGACAGCTGTTAATGTACAATACATAAATACACATATAAAACGTAACTTCTCAATAAATTCTAAATAAAAAAAGAATTTTCAGGAAACATATTAACATAATGTTCATGCTGCTATTCTTTTAGCATTGTTTTTTAATTGACATAATTCAGTTACCAGATCCACAGATTTTTGTCCTTTTGCTTATGTTACGAGCAGCAACTAGAATGCATCAGAAACGTTTTATTTTTTCATTTCACTAAAGACATATTTACCATTTATAACATTGTGAGAAGCCAGCAATTACGGCACATTGAACATTTACCTAGCTATGCAAAATACTTTATGCTCAGACTGAAAACTATGCCTTAAAGTACAGTTTTAAATACCAATTTTTTTAAAGGAAACGGGTAGCTACAACAGATCTATAGATATTGTCTTCTTGTCCTAATAAGTCTTAAAATATTGAAGATTTAGCTTTTCACTGACCAACTTGATCCTGATCTCCAATCTCAACCCTCCAACTCCCTACAAGCTCTGTGTTCTTGGATTTCTCTTGAAGTACTTGAACCCACTGTTCACTAAACAAAGAAGTTTAGATTTCAACAAAAAACAATAAAATATACCAAACACTGTTACCCATATAAAAAATCAATTTTTTATAGTTTTCTAATAATATAATTTCAAATTTCACTCAATTTTTTAATGTAAGACTACAACTTTCAACTTTATCTTGATGATAAAGTAGAATTTCTATGCAATGTTATCACAGACTCATTAAATACAGGAATCATCAGAAAAGAAACAAAAACAATGAAATATGTTAAAATTTGTCCATAAGAATCAAAATTAATTAGCAAGCTAATACTTAAGCACTGTAAGCCTGATATGGTCAGCCAATTCAGTTCTCTTGTGAACAAGATAAACTTTAAATTCTTACCCTAGATATGATGAACCATGTAAATCTGCCCAAGTTGAATCCAAGCCCAATATGAAAAGAAACTTTTAAATTGCATGCAACTTTCAAATGATGATGTGTATAAATAACTATTACTTTAGGTGTCATACACAAAGTATTTTGTATAGAAAATGTGTAATATTACTACAAGTGCTATCAAAGTTGTATTAGTAAAGAAAACATTTCCTATAGAGAAAGGTTCTACTAGTTTTGAGGAATCATCAGCAATAACAAATCTGCTTTGAAGGCCAACTATTTGGAATCCACTTCTGACTGCTTCTATACTGATCTGTCACTCAGTTGTTGCTTGAACTGTTGATTCAGTTTAGAAGATTAAAGCCTGCGAATTTCTTCATGCTCATGTTGTCAAATAGTGATTGTTGATGGTGATTTACCCTATACAGATCTCTGGTCAAGTGTACTTGTCTAAAAGCAAGCACACATCCTTCTTACAACATTTTGTGACATCTGTAGCTACTTGGCAGTGACTTGTTATGTTTGACCAATCTTTAGCTATTGCTCTCCACATCATTGTGGTCCTGACATATTTAATTGCCCACTTTGATCTCTTTACACATGCTGCTGTTCAAATTAATTCACTCTTATATACTCCTGCAACAAGATTATCACAACCTAACCAGTCACCTTACACTTGCTTTGCATAAAATGAACTCATAAGAGCACCACTGATATTATTTAATAATGGTCATTATGTCTTGTCACAGCTAGAATATAGAAAACTTCAGTTAACCCTTAAATGTTTTAGGCAGTATATTTTAATACTTTTTTTAACCAATATCAGGAGAATCGGTTAAATAAAAAAGGCTAATGAGTAGACTTATACCATTTTTGAAACTAAACCTGATTAACTTGACTAGTTGAAGAAAATAACACTCTTACTAGGATTTTTGATACAATAAATAAGCACACAGAAAAAATTGGGAATGCAACAAAACAGTAAACTTATCGTTTCAGTTGTGGATATTTAAATAGAGATCAGTCCTTTGTGTTAGTGTGGTTGGCATATCAGAATATTCTTCTTTATTTTCACTCATAAGTTCTTAGATTTAAACTAGGAATTATTGAACCAGGGACATATTATTGCAGAGGAGTCATCTTATATTACAGACCAAATATGGAATATGTGGTTTTAGGGCTTTAAACTTACTAGATTATGTTGTAGGATATTTCCCCAAAATGTAATTTATTTCAAATGTAAAGATAGGACAAAGGAACATGTAAAAAAGTTCCAGTACAGAATGTAATGTCATGAGGCACAACTTGTATACTAAGCAGATGACAATCTTCATGTGGCTGTTGAAAAACAATTGAATATATCAGGTTTATATATTTGGAAAAATATTTGCAGACATGTCTTATTTTAACACTTTACACAGCTATAATTATTAGGACAACAAAAACTGATAATTTTCATGCTTCGTATGTAACTTATTCTGCTGATGTTTTTGACCAAACTGCCTGCCAAATCTACACAATATAAAAATGAATGTATTATAACAATACTTACTATCCTTGTAGATATGGCTCCATACTGTCCGGTTTAACATCGTGAACTACATAAGAGAAAATCCATATTAGTTTAAGGTTTTTATTTCAATTCTCAACCACTTAAAAAAATCAATGTAAACAGGAAAGAGTGAAGTTCATCACAAAAAACAAAAGAGAAAAAAATTAAAAACTTAAAGCTAATAACTTTAAACTTAAAGAACAATGACAGTGAATAAATATTTACCTCTTGTAACTAAAACCACATATAACATATACATGAAATATATAACTAAAGTTCTTTTTTCTTGCAAATGTAAATTTTTAACGAAACTTATCACAATATTTAAAAGTATGTATTTTATTAACTCTCTACAGTGATATCTTTTAAAAAAACATGTATAACTTCATTTTATTAGTATCTTCTTAAACTCTGAAATCTTTGATGTAAGTCATTATTGTACACCTTATGTACCTCTATACTGTATTATCCACAAACTGTTTTATGAAAATGTTAATTATACCAACAGCGCTATTTCAAAGCTGTCTGAAGTTTGACATTAGCACAATAATACAAAAGCAATCTAATCACAGCATTATTTTAGGGTAATTCATTCTTCCAAGTAGTAAGACACAAGAATAATAATTCAGGGATGAGAACAACTAAATAAACTTTTGACTGACCCTGGGTCCAAGCTCATAAAAACTAGAGGACCATTCAGGCTTTTTGAAACCAGAAGAGTCTGCATGCTCTCTGGTGCATTCTTGGTTATTTTAGGCACTGCTTGGATGATCTATATATATTGGACTTTTGCCAATTTAACTCATATTCAAATGATTAAAATTAGACCAGTTAAAAACATTTTGCCATTATAAGAAATATGTAGACAGATATTACATACAAGTAAAAATTGGCTATTTCAAGAAATACTGAGGCAATCAAGTTCTACTAAGGCAGGAGTTTAATTACAAAAATATTATGTTTATTAGTTTTATAAAAATTATCCAAAATGCTAATTGAATTTTTTTTCAAATGTACAGAAATGTTTACAAGAGTCAATATATTTCACTAAGAAACCTTGCTTGTAAATACTCATATAAAGTCATGGTTTCTTGACATCTCAGAAAGAAGAAGAAAAAGATATCACTTCAGTTTTCATAATTTATACTTGTGAAGTGACATCCAACAAATATTGAAGGATGATTAGATAACACTTGTTCACACTAGTTGCCTTTCCCTGTTTATATTTCCAGCTGAACAATGGATAGTGACATACTGAACTCACACTTCTACATAGGACTCCTACCTACATATACATCAAATATGTTTTACATCATAAACTGAAAACTACCAAGAATATGATCAACTAAATATTTCCAAGCATAACATTAAAATAAGATATAGGGTTGCAAGATAAACATTTATTTAAGGGTAAAACTAATCTGTTTCCCTCCCTCATATTACAAATGCCTCTAAAATTCTTTAAAGGCAAATCATAAAATGTTTGAAACTTTTCATTTTTCTACTTAATGAAACTCCTATTAGTGAAAATTACTAACTGTTTACAAAAAATAAAAAGGAGTCTTTAAAGGAAAATCTTAAAGATTAGGTATTGTGGTATATGTCTCAAAGAAGGAGTTAACAAAAATGTACAATCTATAATCTTTAATAGACATAACAATCAAAGCACAATCAAACACAAAGTTAAACTAGAATGAAAGTAACCTCCAAAAGTTAAGATGAAAGCAAAACAAAAACAAAAACAAGAAATCAAAGATTCTTAAATTAAGAATGATGTTAAAATCTATTATCTAGAATCTCACTCGTAAAAAACTCAGAGTGAAACACTTAAGTTAGGTATTTCAGCAAAATCTAGACCTCCACATAATCTAAATCTGACTAACAGTGGAAAGCCTGGCTTTAAAAACAAAGAAACAATCTAATAACTAAAAGCCATGTCATACACACTATGATCTTTGTGCACATGGCCTTTTGTCCACTGCAATTCAAATATAAGGGTGGGGTAGTCCCAGACTACCATATGATTTGCCAACAGAAAATACATCTATTTGGGAACATCATGAGCTATCTTTCCTGGAAGAACACACATTTATAGACCAACTAGTGAACCTGGTCCTAGCCAAGGCAATATTTTCAGTTACTGCAATATCACTGGTGACAGAAGCCCAGGCTTTCATAGAAATCTAAACGAATGGAACTTGTCACAAGATTTGTTTGGCTGTAGGAAACTTTCTTGGGAAAAATATAATAAAATTAAAAACTTTTTTTCAGCCCCGTATTATGTACAAGCTAGAAGGATATCGTATGAAATTTTAACTGAAAAATTTTAAGCTTTCAGACAAAAATAATGCCCTTATCCCTGCTATCACTAAAATAAGGAAAAATTTACTTGAACAATTTTCTTTGTCCAAACTGAACTGAAAGAAAAACAGAACATTTTGATAAATTTCATATTAAACTAAGGGGGGTATAGCAAGCACATGATACCACCCTGTACCACAATATATTCATGCATGAACCTCTACCTATTCTACTAGAATACTTTTTTTTGCTAATTTTAAAGCAAATTTATGCACACTGGAATTTGTGTGCATTGTGACAATCATTTTTTAAGTACATTAGACTCATAAACACACAAAAATGTCAGTAAGACACAAAAGTTGGTTGCAATTTTTGTTAAATTTGCTGAATAGAACCTCAAACTTGTATTTAAGTACAAAGCTATCTTACTATTTCATAAAGTTTAAGTAAAATAAAAGACTTTTTAGATATTTTTAATAACAAGCATTTTGACTTGACAATTTATGTTTAACATTAATGCTAAAGAATGAATATAAAACTTTACGCGATCTATCAATTCTGTATTGTAATATGTGACCAGATTCTTTGGATCAATGCAAAATGTTAAATGTTAAAAGCTTATGAGACAAAAAAAATATTTTTTGAGAATTTTGTCATATGCTCAGTCCTTCCCTCCCAACTTTCATGAAATCATGTCTATCTTAAGCCATCTACATGAATTCACACAAAAATAATGTCTGATGAAAGGAAAATGTCTATTCTCTATGATTTTAAAGAAATGGCAAAAAATAAAATTCCATTAAGGCAGATCAAAGACCACCTTTAAGCTGGCCTTTTTTTTTATCATCCTCATTGCACTTTAAGGAGGTCTTTGATTTCAAAAGCTGTTTTGAGATTAGTCAAACATTTGTCAATCAACCAATTAAAAGGTGACTCGTATATAGATTTTGGTTTAGTGTAAACATCAAAGCAGACAAGACACTTTTATTAAAGCCTACTAGTAGTAGCATTTTGTCTTTAGTCTGCATCTCCCCAGATTTGAATGAATGGAGTGGATGACCAATTTAAAATAAAAATGTCAGAAATCCACCAAATACTAACCAATTCTCCTTCCTGAAAACTATGTCTACAACTTGTTTGTGTGTACACAGTATGTACACAAAGATAAAACAAACAACAACAAAAAAAAAGTCTTATCATTTCCTACTTTGTACATACTCTGTAATTCATATACAGTATCTGAGTCAGAGAGAAGTCTTGAATGGGAGTCCTTTCCAGGATCAATTTTACGAACGTGTAACAGCTTACTTAGCCACCCTTCATTGTTCTGATCTGCTTTGCTTGTGCTCAAAGCTCTATTCAGGAAACATAAAATATACTATGAGCTTTTCTTAAAAATCTAAAAACTATTAAAAAATAACACCTATCTTAAGTCCCAACATACAATAAAAGTAATTTGGTGTACATTTACAGAGATCATTGTTAAATATTATATACATAACAACAAAACCAGGGAAACCTTATGTACATAAAAATTCAAAATATTAAAATCATGTCAGAGACTAAAGCTCTGTATTACTTATTGTTTTTACCTTTTGTTATCTTTTATAGCTGACACTGGAGTTTTAAGTTTAAAATTTTGAAGCCTAGATAAAATTCTGTCCTTAAGTGGAAATTATAATTATACGCAATAAAGAGGGCAATTGTTGGAAACACTGTACCAGCTGTAATATTTAACTAATGTTTGAAGCAAATACATAAACTATCATAGCCCAAAATTTACAGATTTACTCAAGAGTAAGTTGACAGGAAGGGGGAGACATAGTGAGTGTGTAGTCTTAAAAATGTCACTATTTTAATTTCATGCTGCCAGATGTACTGATCTGAAAAGACAACAATGCTTACCATTCAGCTTGTGCATTTACACTTTTCATTTCAGACAGTCTTGCTTTAATCAAAACGTGTGTTATTTACAGAGGATCCAAAAGAAGTTAAGTAATGAGCATCTATTCACAATCATTAAATAATACAAATGGTCCACTGTTATATAGTTGGTTTCAGTTTGGAAATATTAGCACAGAAACGATGTGAAGTTTGAGCAAACATTTTATTTCAGTATACTTAGAAGTTATAATTTTTCCTACACTGAAAATGTATTTCCAATAGGTACTTATCTCTACTCTATATATATAAAAAAATTTTACGCATGCCACAAGCCTTCTATCTCCCTTCCATTGGAATTTACTGATTCCAATGCATCTCTAATGTAAATCATCATGCGTCAACCCTCCACCAATAATAGTGGAACCTACTCTCGTTACACATGTGACTCCCTCTGTTCAATTCTACCTATCACTTCTCGTTTGGCATTACTTGTGTTCAGATGTTTTTGTTTTTGGTGCTTTTCGTGTGCTTTGCATTTGTCAATTTAATAGTTTCAATGGAATGAGGGAAGGAAAGAAGCATCCTTCAAAAGCATCCGAAGGACACTCCCTAAAATGAGACAGTTGTATTCTAAGATCTGATGTGGGGAACCATACCACTTCTGAACCAGGTATACTCTTTGCCCATCGTAGAAAAGTGTTGCATATATGGGCAAAAAACAGAGGAGCACATCCAATTGGGAAAGAACTATGGCCGGAAAGTGATCCGAACCACGCAATATTTATGAAACTCAATCCCAGAAATTATAAAGGCAGGTGAAATAAAAGGGATGTGGCCCTAGGTGTAGAGTGGCTAGGGTGCAACGGACCATACATGGCAAATCCAAAACCCATTATGCTGGGAACCGACATCCATGTGTGGGTTGGATGAGGACCATACTGTCGGTAAGTCAACTACAATTCAAAACCCAGCCATCAGGTACCAACATCCATGTGGGGGTAGGAAAGGTGATCATACTGGTGGTAATTCAACTAAAATCCAAAACCCAGCCATCTGGCAGGGGTAGGAAAGAGGATCATACCATCTTCACCTCAAGTTCATGAGACCGGAGGGAATCTAGTGCCAGGAATCGATCCAGGAACTCAACATCTGGTATCAAAAAGATGTCTACATAATGGAAACCATCTCCCTCAAAAGTGAAATTGACCAAAATCACCCAAAGCACATTAACATCCTCGGAATAAGATACATCGAGGGATAGCAGAAGGGAAAGAACTGTAACAATCTGCAATCACCTCCACCGTGACCTACAACACTGATGGAGTATAAATGAGGGAGGAATATATACATTTGTAATATACGTGTGAGAACTTATGTTGATTGGTTCTACTCTAAATCCAAAACCTGATCACTGGGAACCGACATCCACGTGGGAGTAGGATGAGTGTACATTGCATGGCCATGGAATTACAATATGTTGACATGGCTTGACAGTGTGAATTTGAAAAGTTAAAGAATATCTGATCAGGCACCACTCGCAACAGAGCGAGATCCAAACAATGAATATTAATAAAAGGGCCCTTGAAAAAGAAACAAAAAAGAAAAAATAACTTACCCAGTCAAAGTTTCACTGAATTCTGATATTCTAGAATGGCTAAAGGTGGAAGATGATAACCCAAAGAGGAAGAAAACCATGATCCGATGCAAATAATGAGAGACTAACATATCATGGGTAGTCCACATGCCCAACTGAAGAAGAACCTCCAAAGGACGACGAAGATGAAATGCCAATGAAAAGGTTAGGTGTCAAATTGGGTTGAAAAAACACTCGGAACAAAATATGGGAGGAAGATGATAAAGAGAAAGAAGCCAATGATGAACCAGTTGATAAACCCATGCTCCCCATCCCTGTAGGGATGCATCCATAAAATGTGGAAAACCAGATGAGGAGGAGGAAGTGGGATACAAGGGTAGGAGGAAGGGTAATAACAACCGACAAAGGATCCCTGCAAAATTCCATGAAAGAGCCTGCTTATGAGCTTGACCTAAGGGGTTAAGGCTACCAAGAAAGATCACATCCTCAAAAGAAATAGAGCCTCGCAATCTGTAACTGAAATGAAAACCCTTCGAACAAAGTCAAAGAAGAGAAGGGCAGGCTCAATGAGAACAACAACACACAAATGGACAAGATATTGGATAGGTCGCAGTAAGGACTTCTCCAACTTGATTAATAGCCCATTATAGCTGCCTCCAGGAGCAACTGATAAGGGTAACAGGTGGACTCCTGTTCGGATCAAATGAACAGTAGCCAGTTAACCAAAGAATGAGAAAAGTGCAACCCAAGAGCATATAAGTGATGAATGAATGCTCTGGATGCCCAACAAAACATACAGGGCTGAAGCAAGTCTGAAGGACATTGCATGAAACAGCATAACCACTCCATGGAGAATAAAATGAGGAGAGGTTCGCGGGTGATGAAATATCGGGATATGCAAATAAGCATTCATGACATTCCTCTTTGTCACCAATAAACCTGGAGTAAGAGACCACCTAAGGGTGAGAAACGAATCCAAGGTAATATGGAGCAAATTTAAAATTAGAATGAGGCAGGACAAACCTAATACAAGCAGCCAGTTTCTGGATTGGCATGAGGATAACAAACAGCCTGGAATTAAAGCCTGGAGAAAGATGATAAACAGGTGCAACGGCCTGTAGAGACAGAAAATCTTGTACTGGCTTGGACAGATGCAGTCTGGTGGCAGGATCCCAAGTCATGGGGAAGGAAAAAGGTACCTGGGACAAAGGAGGTAGGGAAAGAAATACAGTAATCCCTTTTCGATGACGAGGAACCCACTTTGAGACTAATAATGGCTGGAGACGGCTTGAATGGGTAATGAAGAAAAACTTTAATATAACAGCAAATGTACAACGTTTCGACAAGGTTTTGTCATCATCAGGTAATCCCTTGATAACTCGGCATCCCTGAAAAATATTCAGGTTTCCTAACTATGCGAGAGGAGTCCTTACAAATTCTCCCAAGCAACTGAAAGCAGTTGAGTGGTTGCCTGATTTGGAACAGCACTATGCAACTTTGAGAGATATTAGGGCAGATGTCATCAAGTGTCAGCACAGCAATTACAAACAAGGGAAAATATCTGACTTTTTTAAACCCCTGTTAAAACAACCAATCATGATTTGCACGAGACACACACTGGAATCAGTCAATTCCAATAGAGGGGATATAGATTTTTTTGTATATAGAGGGAAGCATGAGAATAGCTATTTATGTGAGTAGAGGTAACGTACTGTAATCAGTCAATTCCAATGGAGGGGATGATAGATTTTTTTGCATATAGAGGGCAGCACAAGAATAGCTATTTATGTGACTGGAGGTAACATACCTTATCGAAAATTATTATTTAATCTTTTGACGAACTGTAAATACATTCTACGTATACAAATTCATCAAAATCCATGCTACACTTCATATGTAATAAAAGTCACAGTTGAAATGTGGGTAGATTGGCTTAAAACTGATTTTAATGTACAAGCCATATGTAAATCATACCTTTTCCAGAAGATGGTCTGTGAAATGCAGATACTCTTAATTATCATAATGGTTTGATCCTGTATTTATGGAAATAAAACAGTAAAATTGTACATAGGAGATACTAGTGGAGTTAGGCTCCAAGTTGTCTAAAAATTCTGCTTTTAGCATAATTGTTGTTTTGATTCTAGCAATCAGATATTAACAATTCTGTGGAATTTTTAGTAAGGTTATCCAATGATTTATGTGCTTTTACATCATTAACTTTAGCTAATATAGCATATGGACAGCAAAGGACCATTTGATCTTTCAAGGTTGTCCCTACACACCGACCTTTAGGGTTTCCATAAGCTGGTGGGCTCAAAATTCCCAACTTTTCCCTAACCAAAATGTTCATGTCAAATTAGAGAAATTATAGGTTATCACATATAAACATGTGTGTGTAATTTCATTTATATATATAACAAGTTAACAGTTTCCTAACTGAAAATGTATTTCAGATAGATAATCACCTCTCTGCACCACAAGGACTATTACCTTGTGTGCACTGGTGTGTATGTTCCTGTACATGTCACAAGCCTTGAATAAAGCTCCAACCACTACATATGTCAATGTATTTTACACAAGTCTATTATGTAATTTTCATTAGACTACAACCCACCACCAATAGGAGGGCAACACATCCTCCATGCACATTAATCCCCATGAGCACTAGTATTTGAAAATAAGTACATTCTTGACGAGGTAAACAAAATTCACTAGCAATGGGGAGAAAGGTTGTGCAAAGGGGTAAGTATCTATCTGAAATATATTTTCAGGTAAGGAAATATTAACTTCAGAAGACCTACTCACTTCTCTGCACCAAAAAGAGCCAGAAACCCACATGGAAGATGATGGAGGGGCTAGTTCATAGAAAGAAATTGC